TAATGACATGGAGATGAGGTGGCTTCACCACATGCCTTTAAACTTCTTTATTAATATATATAGATTTTTATTTTATTTAAATCGCCAGCTGCCACCTAGATGATGAGGTGGCTTCACCACATTCCTCCAAATCCAACTTTTATATATATAGATTTTGATAAATTCATGTATTTTTATGAGATTTTTCTATAAAATATAAAACAAATGAATAATTTGTGTTCGAAGGCGTTTTTACATAAGGTTATTCCGTGAAAAATCAACACCAAGATCAATAATTTTTTTTTTTGGTAAAAGGTATGTATTCGATCCGATTTCCTTACAACTTCGTATTCTTTCCCAACATTACATTAGAGTTGCCTCTATCTTTGTAAATATTTGGAACACACTAATATACCTCATCTGGCGAGAAAGGAATAATCGAATCTTCCGCTCTAAGCCAACCGATGCTGCTGTTATAAAACATCAACTCGACCGACTTGTACGGAATATCATTTTATCAAACCAGAAAGGATTACAACCACGAAAAAATTTGCTCTTGTAGGATTAGTTCCATCTAACAAGACCACCATAAAAATTTTGCTGTATTGATATTTTACTATTTTGCTATTTTTGTAAAACTTCCAGACATGGAAGTTCTACTTTTGATATACGGTTCTTCAACCGTGATGTATGCGTGACTGATCCTTTTTTATTAATTTATTCACATTTCATCAAGGATAAAACATGACTTGTGCATGGCAAATGAAAGTCCACGTAGAACTCAATTAACGATGCATGACGTGAGTGAATTTGGAAGAAATTGAAGAACTCATATGTTAATATGTCATATTAATTATTTGTATATTTTATAATATATTTTACAAAATTTATGTATTTTTATGAGATTTTTCCTATTTTTATATAAAATTATTATCTGAAAATGTTATGCCAGCAAAAATTAATTATGTCAATATTTTTCAAAATAAAAAAGTAAAATCATATATGTATATATATTCACATGCAACGTGTATATATCAATACATGTGTGCATATATGCGTATATAATATATATACACACAACACATACAAAGACATATATGATATGAATAGCATACACATACACGTTTCACATACACACGTAATATACATGTGTATGTGTGTGTATATGTAAATATTTTTTATTTTTTCTTTCTTTTTTCTTAAAAAACCGTTGATGTTATGTTTTCTTGATGAGGAAGTAATGACAGGACATTTAATTGATATTGTGGTCCAAATTTTAACCAACTACATTAATCGTCCTACTTCGTCAAACATCTAATATCGTCATCGGTGATGGAAGAATTTGACGGTTTTAACATAGTTCATATATTTATTTAAAAGTTTCAGAATTGATGTATTTATTTAAAATATTCGCATGCTTTGCATGAATTTTTTTTTTTAATATCAATAATGTAATTAGAATAATAATAAGGGATAATGGCCAAAAAACTATGTATTTTTTATATGTCTCAATTTAATATCTCTACTTATTTTATATCTAATAAAACCCTATACTTTATCCAACTAATGGAATATTCCTGTACTTTTTAAAACTTAATCAAAAAATTCCTAATGTTAATTAATTACCATGTAAGCATACGAAAATACAAAGTGACAAAAATTTCATTAAATATTGTCCACGTCAACGAAGTGTCATTGACATGTAGGATTAATGAACCAAATATTTAACCAAAAATAGAAACGCTTTAAATTATCATAAGGTTTAAATTATATTAGGTTATAGATTCAGATTATGATATAAAAAAGTGTGTTACATAGCGAAGAGTTATGCGTGTGAACTCAGATTATATAATAAAGAATGGTTGACAATAAATAATATGGAGAGGTGCACAATACATAACGAAAAGATAATCTAAATTAAAAAACAAAAACGGCAATTCAAAAAAATACCACCACGTTCATACTCGAGTGCCGTTTTAGTTCGGTTGATTTTGTCTTGGAACTTTAAACTTTTCACCCGCACATGGTGTAACGACAATCCTCGAGAGAAGTGATGACGTTGGGACGGAAGCACCTCGGGGATGTTGGTTTCGCGAAACATGAGAAATTGCTGATTGTATAGTCTTACTAGATTGCGTTGGGATGGACGAACCTGCACTATACTCTGTTATTTTGTGATCTGACATGTTCAGTAGTTGATCTCGTCCTCTTTGGTGGGGGTCTCGAGCTAGTTTCACCTCCCAACTAGAAATAATAACACAAAATAAACACAACATAATCATTCAAAACAATGTGTAAATTGAATAATTAACCACGTACCGATGATTTTCTCGGTCTACCCCTTCCTCGCCCTGGACCATAAGATATAAATGGTTCATTTTTACACATCTTAGCATTATGTCCAATCTGTTTACATTGGCTACATGTCATTTTTCTGCCGTGACAGGAATTTGACCACTCTTCGATGGAGATTCATGGGAATCCTTTGTCGCTTGAATTTTTTAGGTCGACCAGGCATATTTTTTGGGATGGGGACACCAGTTGGATCTTTTATTGTCTTCCCACTTTGCCTTATAGTAGTAATGAGACACATATCCATAAAAATGATAATGATATTCTGTAATGTTAGTAAAACATAACATTACAGATTCGATGTTCACATCGTGGCAATTCTTCCTCAATTGCCCTAATCAAACCCTACAACAAAATAATTTTGAACTTTGTTAGTATAACAACTAATATGTATACATTTAAATACACTGTAAACATTAATAATTACCTTTTGCTTGTCAGAATGTATAGTGATACTTTGTCCTTCACCGAGATCTAAATCACCTTTCAACTTGCTTACAAACCAACCCTCACGTATCATTGCTCTCAACGCGTACCACAACCCATGCAATTGGATAAACTTTATTATCACCATCCCTACCAATTGCCGCTAAAAGTTCACCCTTTAATGACCATTTTAAAAAACAACCGTCCAATCCTATAATTGGATGATAATATTCCTTCCATGTTTTCCGCAAAACCTCAAAACAAACATAAAAATGGTCAAATGATTGTTCACCACAATCATCTTCCGATGTGACACTGTCAATTTCGGTTGTTGTGTTAAGATTCGATCTAAGAAGCTCTGCCTCGTAGTCTCATAACTTAACAAATTGAGATCTCTGATCTTCAACCACTAAACCTAAAGCGATCCTCCGAGCTTTGAAGTACTTACACCGTGTCACATTTAATTCATATCTTTTCATAATTTCCTTTTGTAACTCTTCAGCTGAATACGATGGGTTTAATCTGATATCATCTGCAAAAAATTTTGCAATACGCCTAGATGTCAAAATCTCGGCCTCACGCCTCTTCAGATGGTTGTGATCATCGTGAAATATCTTCACATCCACGTGTTCATCGCCGTATGAATAGAACAATAGATTCTCCAACTACAATCTTTTTCAGTGCAAATCGCTTCGCATTTCTTGCTTTCACACCCCGAGAATTTCACGTTGAATTTTGTGTCCAACACATATTAAATTACCGCTTCTTGAAAATCTTCACCGATATTAAACGTCCTACCTAGATATAGACCATGTTCCAGGGAGCTACTTGACCCATGTTGCATTGGTTGCTTACATTGCAACCAATGCAACATTCTGTGTTTTCTGGTGTAGTTGGAAAATTATCACCATAATCATAACAGTCTACATCACTTACATATTCATCGTAATGTTGTACTGGATCCTCGAAACCCTCCTTTCCACCATCCACATGACCATAGTCATCAAACTCTTCCCTGTCTCCCAATATTTCGGGATGCTCATTATCATCACATACATTAACACAATCATCAGACTCCATACCACCTAGCATTAGAAATACACGGTTTATCAAACCAAAAAAACAGAAAAACAAAATTGATGTCGTTCAACAAAATCGACTAACAAAACTCAGACATTAACAAAGGAAAAACAACAACCGATGATCTTCGTAGATTTTGCAGATGTTTTACGGTTCGAAGCGGTGTAGATGGAGAGGAAATTTAGGGAGAGTTTTTAGGGTTCCATCGATTTGACTTCGTCTGTCAAAGTGGGAGAGTTTTAGGGTTTTATGATTGTAATCGGTTTTATCTGATTAAACCGATTCTATTTTTTGGGAAAAAATTTGGTTCATTAATCCTATATGTCAACGATGTTACGCCGACGTGTGCAACGTTTAACCAAAATTGTTTGCCACGTTTGATTTCCATATGCTTACATGACAACTAATTAACATTAGGAATTTTTTGGTTAAGTTTTAAAAAGTACAGGAATATCCTATTAGTTGGACGTAAAATAAGTATAGGTATTAAATTGAGACATATAAAAAGTATAAGATTTTTTTGGTTATTGTCCCTAATAATAAAAACAATATCTAAAGTTTAGTGGCTAAATTTTATTGCATTGAATAGAAGGAGAGGAAGATTTGAGTTATAGAATTATGTCCAAGAAGACAACACAGAGCATCCAAGTTTGTTTACATTACATTCAGCATTATATATACATAAATAGAAACTTCTACCTGATGTAGAAGTTTGCATCCATTAAACCAGTTTGTACTTTTTTTTTGTGGTGTCGGCAGGATTTATACTTTGTAGCATTATTATTAGTTCACAGATGAGTTTTTTACCCAAATAATCCACTTGGGTCGCAGCTATTTCACTGTACACCACCGAAAAAAAAAATTTCAATTTTAACCCACTTTTTGGTTGAAAAAGTCCGAAATACCCTTTTCGTTTTATTTTTTGCGACTTTATTACGATTAACATATAACTGATATATAACTAAAATAAGACATGATTTTTTTGTCACCTTTTTTAGAATCAATTGTAACTATATTTAGAATTAATTACGAAATCATAATAACGAAGTTGTTTTCGAATGGATAAATATCGTATATTTATTAAGGGTAATTTCATCTTAAAAAAAAAAAAATGTGTTCAGGTGATATAGATGCGACCCAATTGTTCATTTGAGTGATTTTACCTCACAGATGCCCCCTATGGCACTCCTATTCACTGTTGTATCACCGCCAATAGCCTCGTGCGACTATGCTTTCTGTCGCCTCCCAATATCTCTGCCGACTCGCCGCCTCCGGTCGCCGGCGCCGCGTCAGCTGTCTACCTCTCGGCGTGTGGAGGTCCAGTCACACCTACGGAACCCTATCATTTCTCCCGACGATCACTGGGGCCAATGGGCCGCGCTCTTCGCCGCCGGTGCTTTCGGTGTCTGGTATTCCGACGATCTCCCTTCTCACTCGATTTCCAGCGCTGGCGATTTTCTTTTCTGGGTCTGATTTCGGGGGAATTCACCGTTTTAAAGGTCGGAGAAGACGAAGGTAGGGAGCATTGTGAGTGGAGCGTTGACGAGCACGTTGGTAGGTCTCGCAGCGAGCAATTTGGGGCTAATTCCGCACGAAACGGCGTCGTATTCGTTTTTCATGGAGTTTCTGTTGCCTCATACGATTCCATTGCTGTTGTTTAGAGCTGACCTTCGCCGTGTCTTCCGTTCCGCTGGGTCTCTGCTTCTTGCTTTCTTACTTGGATCCAGTAAAATTCCTGACTCCCTCCTTCCATTTTTCATTTCTGATACACAAAATCTCAGAAATACTGTTTCCAACTTGCAAATGTGGCTATGCTCTCTAAGAATATTTTCAATGCATAGTTGGGGGTTCCTTAGAGGATCAGGGCATTACCAAGTTCGCATCTTTAGGCCATTTAGATGCCTGAGAAGTACATGGTGGATAACTTACTGTATTTCCTTGTGCAATTTCTGCAATGCTGATTCTGATTTTGTGACTGTGTCCTGTCCATTCTCTTCAATGACTCGCTTGTGAACTCACTAATCTATGAACTGTTAATGGCAGTTGCGACGGCTGTAGGGACATTGGTGGCGTTTATTTTGGTGCCGATGAGATCACTGGGTCCTGATAACTGGAAAATAGCTGCTGCTCTCATGGGCAGCTACATCGGCGGATGTAAGTTGTACACGCTTCCATTGAGGTATTCGGACTTTATTCATTGTCAAAGGCTCTAACTTTGGTTGGCCGTGGTCTTTTTGGATGAGTCGCAAAGGCTGCTAAGTCCATGGCAACCTCATTAAGAGTGTTACAAGGTAATATCATGGAATCAGAAACATGAATTAGACTAATCAGAATCAGAAATTAGACTATGAACTATTTAAAGGAAGAATGCCGAAACAAGCACCAGAAAAAAAGGGTATGAATTCGTGCATTAACAGCAAAGATGCCAAGCTATTCGAGTTGGACCCTTTCCTTCCAAAATCCACTAAAAGGGGCAAACGTTCTCACACCCTGGAATTTCCGCGTTAGAAGAAAACTTTACTCATTTTGGTCCTCGAATATATCTAATGACTTTGTTAATGTTTCTTTTGTGGGAAAAAGAGATTCAAATATTGTCCTTTGCACGCTCTTTTCATACAGCACTTAATTATGTTGCGATATCGGAGGCTCTATGCATTTCGCCCTCCGTGATGGCAGCAGGGGTGGCCGTAGACAATGTAATATGCGCCTTGTACTTCATGGTGTTGTTTGCATTGTCCTCAAAGATTTCCCCTGAGACCCCAACGTCTGTCACTGGTAAAGTTTATTCTCAATCCCATCTTTTTTATATCAATCTCTGGAACTATCATACCATGTAACATTTCCCGCGCATTACTAATTATTGATCTTAATACATTACACATTGCTGGACCTCTGCGTTAATCTGAACTTATTCTTCTGGCAGATGCAAAGGTAGATAGAGATCATGAATCTTGGGACAAGAACCGATTGCTTTCAACTTCTATAGCATTGTCGATATCCTTTCTGATATGTAAAGCTGCGATTTCCATAACAAAGTTCTTCAAGATTCAGGGAGGTATGCTTCCTGCAGTGACGGCCATCGTTGTCATTTTGGCAACTTTGCTCCCCGAACAGTTCCACTCCCTTGCTCCTTCTGCTGAAACCGTCGCTCTCATTCTAATGCAGGTGATTTTATTAGCATATTCATACTATTTCTGGCAAGAATACTGATGTATATCCTGAAAGTTATGATCTTTAACATCTTGTGCTTATCCAAAAAGTTGTTTTTCACGATCTTGGGAGCTACGGGGAGTGTATGGAATGTACTAAACACGGCCCCGAGTATCTTTCTCTTTGCGGTAGTTCAAGTAACGGTCCATCTCGCCGTGCTATTAGCTATGGGGAAGTTATGCCGTATCGAGAAGAAGCTACTGATTCTTGCATCAAATGCTAACATCGGGGGCCCGACCACTGCCTGTGCGATGGCTACCGCGAAAGGATGGACTTCTCTAGTAGTCCCGGGGATCCTGTCGGGCGTTTTCGGGGTCGCCATCGCGACTTTTCTCGGCATCGGATTCGGAGTGTTGGTACTCAGACGCTTGTGAGCTTCCTCTTATATGCCTTGAGCTCTTGCAAGTTGTAAGCTCAGTTGAGAAGCTACACTGATCAGTTAAAAGGGAAAGAATTAATAATTACTGTTTTGCCTGTGATAATTAAATTTTATGGATTAGTATTGGAAAAACGAAGAATTTAGATACTTTGAATTTGGGTTTTTTTTTTAATCATGAGAAAAATGATTGCCTGTTTAGGTAGAATCACGTGATCGTAAATATTGAAAAAAGGAATGCAGTGTGAAATCCAAAAGTAAAAAAAATAAGTTGAAGTTGTAAATAAATTACATGATTTTTTTTACCATAAAATTAAAACAGCTTCCAACAGTATCCGGTGGTCTCTGTCTCGATCTCACTTCTGGCTTTCCATTGACCACGTGTGCGAGAAGGGCGTGTTCATATACTCCGATGCTTCTTTCGCTCCCAACCGCAACAGACTCTCCTTCTCTTGTCTTTGCAGTGTTGACCCTTCTTGCTTTATTCATTCATAAATTAATGCATATCTTATATTATACATATTTGTATAGGATTCCTTTAGGTTCAGATTTGGATTTCATATAGAAATTCGTGCAATTCGGTTTCGATTTTTACTTAGGATTTCGTACGATTCGCTTTTTAAATAGGATTCGTTCGGTTCGTATTTGAGTTGCGTTCCATTCAGATTTGGTTTCTACGATTTCGTTCGTTTCAGTTTCGGGTTTTATATAGGATTTCGTTCGATTTGTATTCGGTTTTTCATACGATTCTATTCGATTCGTATTTGTTTTTTTATATAAAATTCATTTCTATTTGGTTTTTTATATAAAATTTAATTCGATTCGGATTTTATATGGAATTTGATTATAATTTTTGAAAAAATTATAAATTAATAGAATACAAATAATATCTAAAATTGATAAATGGACTAGTTGGATAAACTCATTAGATTCCATCGTTTAATGGATTGAAACCCAATAAACTCATTAGATTCCTTCATTTTCTTATTATTGGGTTGATCCCATTTATTGCGCGCGACTCTATTCGACAAAGCAAAACAGCAAATAACTTCCATCTAGAAGTCGTAGTCGCCGGCGATATCCGCCTCCACCTTCTCCGCCGCCTCCTCTGCGATATGATCCGTCAATGCATCCATTCCCTCCATCAATGCAATCCCTCCCAAAGCTCCGGCCACCGCTCCCACTGCCAATCCCATCCCCATCCCGCCGAATCCTCTCCCCTTCCTCCCCGTCTCCGCCGCATAACCATGTGTCGGTTGCTGACTGTACGCCGGCGCCGGCTCGTTGTACGGATACCCAATCGGCGGAGCTGCGTAGGACGCACCGTAATGCTCCGTCTGCTGCGCGTAGGGCGCAGGCGCACTGTAAGACTGAGACGGTGGCGCGTATTCAACCGGCGGCGGCGCGTGAGGTGAACCGTAACCGTACGACGGTGCGTGATACGATCTCGGAGCTGGATACCGAGAATCGCGGACCGTGACGGTGACGTCGAGCTTGCCGTGAGGACGACCGGAAGGGCGTTTGAGTTTTAGGGTTTTGGCGGTTGGGAAGTCAACGCCGGAGTCGTTGACGACGTCGCGGAGTCTGAGACGGGCAGAGCCGATGAGGGACTTGGTGCCTTCCTCCGGATCGGCGTGGACGATGTCTACGCGGAGGACATTGTCATCATCGTCGACAGGCTTCTCCGGCGGGAGAGGGATGACGAGTTTCTCGTTCCAGAGGGGACACGTGTCACCTTCCTCATCGACCCTCGTGGAGAACTTGTTGCTCTGTTGGACCCAAACGACGGCGTATGGCATGTTCCGACCGTGACGCCAGTTCACGTTCTTGATGTCCTTCGCCGACGCGATCGTCACTTCCACTTCTTTCCCCGACGACATTTTCCTTCCTTTTTTTTTTTGTTTTGAAGTGATGACAAATGCGATGGTTACGTTGTGGGTATTTATAGGGCTGAGTGGATCATGTTTCATGAACATTCAAAGATTTGGTGTGGCTGTTTTTACTATTTTGCCCTTGAAGTTTCGTTTTTGGTATGGTCTCATACATATATATATATATATATATATATATATTGGTTGGAAGTGTGGACCCGCGCTGTGTTTACTGTTTTCACCTGATAAAGGGAATTGTTAAACTAAACATAGTAAAATTGGGTAGCTCCTTCTTATTACACAGAAGAATTTTCTATTTTTGTACAAGATTATATATTATGAATAGCTTTGTTTGGAAGGAATATACCTCATAATTCCTTATAAAAAAAATGGTGAATGTAAACTGGTTAAAATATAGTTTCTATTTTATTTCTTTAAACGCTTTTATGCTAATTTTGTTAAAAAAAAAATTTAAATCGTCCTTATCCAACACATATCTAGGTGGGATTGTGCTTGTCCGATGAAATATAACTTAAACTGAAGCACACTAATAACTCAGACACGCGGAGTCAACTGAGAATTTTACTCAAATGACCTACTTGGGTCACAGCAATTTCACGCGTACACCATCCAAAACATAAGGAATTAATTTTTTTTGGAAAGACGAAATTATCCTTAATGAATACGTGATATTTGTCCGTTCGAAAACAACTTCGTTATTACGACTTCATAATTAATTCTAAATATAGTTACAATTGATTCTAAAAAAGGTGGCAAAAAAATTATCTGTCGAATTTTAAAAAAAACTACGTTTTATTTGAGACTTTCATCTCTATACGATTATAACTACTTATTTTAGTTGTATATCAGTTATATATTAGTCGTAATAAGGTCGTAAAAAAATGAAAAAAAAAGGTATTTCGGACTTTTCCAGCCGAAAAATGGGTTAAAAGTTGAAAAAAAAATTTATTTTTTTTGGTGGTGTACCATGAAATTGTTGCGATCCAAGTGGGTCATTTGAGTAAAATTCCCGAGCCAACTCGTCCTGTCGCTCACCCAACGCTATCTTTTATTTTTTTTATTTTTCGTTAGTTTTGAATTAAAAAAAAATATATAACCAGTATAGTGAATATTAAAATAAATATTTGTTATTCGTAAAAGCTGAATCCAAAGTAAATCCTCATGGAATCCCGATTGAATCGACTGCATCGAGAAATTAAATGGATACAATTTTTTTATGCGACAGAAAGAAAAAACCAAACCACCAAAATCCGAAATATTCATCATACATTTTATTATTCCTTTAAAATCTTCTATCTTCTTTAACAAAAAAAAATCTTCTATATTTCAACAAATATATATATATTGAAAATAAAAGAGAGAGCAATAATAAAACACAAAGGGAAGAGAGAGAGTAGAGTAGAAGGAATAAGGAAGTATTATACAATTTGTATTGTTCTACATATATATTATTAATTCTGTGAATATAAATCTATTTATAGGCAAAATAGAGAAACTCCTTCATAATGAAGGAATCAATAATTATGGGCTCGTAACAATATTGGACTTATTAAAGATCCATTTGGATCTCTAATGATTATCCGTCAGTTGAACTGTCTCGTTAAAAACCTGATCATAGAAAAATCCTATGAGATAAAAACCATGACGAGAAAAAAAGAGTACAGTTTTACCATCTCCCCCTTGAGTCAATATGCATACATTTCTTCATAAACTCCGAAGACGATGCATTCTGATGTTCTGAATATGCTTCCTGAATGTTGAAGTAGGTAGTGCCTTTGTGAATAAATCAGCTACGTTGTCACTTGATCGGATATATCGGATATCAACTTCTTTGTTCTTTTCGAGCTCTTAAGTGTAAGAGAAGACCTTCGGAGGAATATGCTTCGTTCGGTAACTCTTTATGTATCCTTCTTTGGTTGGGCAACACATGCAACATTATCTTCAAATAATATCGTTGGATCGATATTAACGGATAATCCACATACTTCTTGTATGTGGCGGGTTACAACTTTGAGCTACATATATTCTCTACTTGTTTCATGAAGTGCAATAACTTCAGTGTGGTTCGAAGATATTGCAATCAATGTTTGTTTCTGAGAACGCCAGGAAATTGTGAAAACATATCCAGTCTGTGATCAAACTTTATAAGGGTTGGATATAAATAGACTGTATATGCAAAACCTGTTGGTTTAGTGCTCTATGATGTACTGTTATGCGAGCTTTATTATGATACATTTGATGTATTGATACTTTCTATAGTCTTAGGTAAGTGTTTGATTCATTACATATTGTGCATACTAGATATGTTGTGAAATCCATGTATTGTTATGTACAATACTAAACTCCCTAGTCATGTATCATTGTGAGAATAATGATATAATAAGACTAGTATGATGTGTGATTGATGATCATAAAGATGATCATAGGTATTGGATACGATCACAGTCATAGGTATTCGTTGGAGAACGGAATACTGGATTGACCCGCATGAGATTGTCACATGGACTAGCGTCATGACTTGAATCTCATATGGCGGTTCCATGATTGGATCCTAAGACCTGAGATATCTACGGAATCCAACATGAGGAGTTGCGTGCTTTGAATACGTCAAACGTCCTGCGTAACAGGAGAACTATAAAGGCGTGTATCAGGTACGAAACGAATCATGTGCTGGATTGTAGATAGTCAAGATGGAATTTGTACCTCTCGTAAAAGAGAGAGATATCACTGGACCCCTCGTATGAGCGAGACTGTAAGAATGTGTGGCCGCACTATAGACGGCGTCGTCTATTTCAGACAGTCGAACTCAGTGAACGAGAAAGCAGTCGAATCAGATAAGGTGGCTTGTCCATGCCTTATGTTCGACATATGATATCATGATACAAAAGGATCATCAACCGGAACCATCACTGACGTTCGTAAGATCACGAACAAACTCTATTTGAGATAGGTAGTCATAGTGTCTTGCTAGAGACCACCTATGACTTGTATATCCGGAATAGAGATTTCGGGTTATACTGCTATATCGAATGAGCCACAGGGTAACACACGCAGGGAATGACAAATGCACGAGAGAAAACGACGAAAAATCGAAATGGAAGGGTCTGGAACGGACGGACCAGAAGGGCAGACCGGACGGTCCGCCTGGTCCAGACCCGACGGTCCAGAACGCAGTCCGTCCGTTCTAGAAGGTCTGGAACGGACGGTCCGTTCAGGTAGACCGTCCGTTCTGACTTGCTGGAACGGACGGTCCACGTGCTTTTCTGGACCGTCCGTTCCGGGCTTCGTGTTTTTTCGAAATTAAACCGAAATTAGGGTTAAATCACTTTATAACAAGGAGATTAAACCCTAATGAAAGTGAGCCGACTTTACAACACTTTTTTGACAGACTTTTGGTGAGATCCAATAGCTTTAGAGTGTGATTGAAGTCCGTTTTCTCGAAGCACAAAACCGAATAGCAGATTCGGGTCCTAGCAGACAAGTTCCAACCGTTGGAATCCATCCCGAGATGTGGATACGTGTAGAGGGCGAGGTATTCTTCCTCCCTTTTGTGATCAGTCGAATTCTTCAATTGATACAGGCCCCGGATCGATTGAGGTAAGCGTTCTAACGTTTCTACGATTCATAGAAGCATGGTTCTAGGGTTTATTAAATTTTTGTTTTACATCCGCTGCGCAAACCCTAGAATCGATCTCTTAGGAATAGGATTCGCTCTAGAGATCCCAGGAAACCCATCAAAACCGATTAACCCAAGTTTCAAATCTCTAGGATAAAATAATCCAAAATCAATCATTCCTTATAAATAACGAAAGATATGTTTGATCTCTGTCCAATGTCGTCTTGTTGGAGACGAACTATATTTTGCTAAAAGATTAGTAGCAAATGTTATATCTGGTCGAGTAGAGTTAGCAATATATAACAATGCTCCTATCGCATTCATGTACGGTTCTTCAGGACCGAGTACCTCCTCTTTATCTTCACAAGGGCGAAATGAATCTTTTTCAATATTTAGGGATCTACAACCATTGGAGTACTCAAAGGATCTGATTTATCCATGTTAAAATGCCTCATAATTTTTTTGGTATAGTAGACTGATGAACAAGTATTCCGCTAGGAAAATGTTCTATTTGTAGTCCAAGACAAAACTTTATTCGTCCCAAACTTTTCATCTAAAAAATTCTCCTTTGAGATAATTTCGAGCGTTTTCAATTTCCTTTGGAGTCCCAATTATGTTTAGATCATCCACATACACTGGTATAATCACAAAATCGCTATCTGTTTTCTGGATGAATACACGTGGGCAAATGAGGTTATTAACGTATCTCTTTTCCAACTGACATTCACTTAAGTAATTACACCACATGCGTCCAGATTATTTTAATCCATATAAGGATCGTTGTAATTTGATCGCATATGTTTTCTTAGATTTTGAGTTCAATGTCCCTTGCATTCTCAATCCTTGAGAAATTTTTATGTATATGTCATTTTCCAACGACCCATATAAATATGTTGTGATAATATCCATAAGATAAAATTTCAAATTCTTAGAAGTTGTTAAATTTATCAAGTATCTGAACGTAATCGCATCCAATGACTGGAGAATATATTTCCTCATAATCTATTCCACGTCTTTGAGAGAATCTTTGTGCGACAAGACGTGTTTTATATATCATAATTTTATTATTTTTATTTCTCTTTCGTACAAAAATCCATCTGCATCCAATTGATTTTACACCGTCAGGGGTTTGGATAATGGACTCAAATACTTTTTTTTTGTTCAGTGAATCTAATTCTACTTCCATAACTTCTTTCCATTTTATCCAATCATGTCTCTTTTGACATTCGAATACCGACATTGGTTTTGGATCTTCACTATCATTTTCGATTTTCTTCGATACAGAGAAAGAGAATATTTCATCACTATCATCTATTTCATTTCTAACTAACGTCTTTCCATTATGGATGCAGCTGATAGAAATTTCATTGTCTTTTGTATT